GCCTGATATTTGGAGTATGGTTGATTATTACATAAATATCGAAAATCGACCACAGCCCAACCCAATCCAATATTCCATGATAGACGCAGAACAAAATCAAACTCAGATTCATGATAAGGTATGTGTTTAATATATATATATTTTTTTTTAATTTTATTATGATTTAATTATAATTATAGAATCAATTGTATAAAGACGGCGCTTGTATTCATTCCGGTTCACATTCGTAATACATATTATATTATTATAGGTGATCATATTTCCATTATCAAAGGTATTACTATACTATAACACTCATAAGCATTTGTATTTTATGAAAATAATTACGATGCCGTCTGTGTATAATTAACATCGAATATATAGCCGCCATTTCTAAGAAATAGTAGTACTAATACTATACTGGTTACTATATATCTAGTAGGGTAAAAAAGTAGTGTTATATCTTAATTCATAAATTATAATATAATATATGATTAATTAGATGTTAGACAATATTAAAGTGATGACACTATGTCGGTTTACAGAACAGCATACCATGTTTTCCTGGAATCGTATGATCTCGATTCAACAAGTCTGAACATGTTTAAACCTGACTGAACGCGTTCATATCTGTTTGAACCCCGTCTGAACGTGTTTACAACTGTTTGTAACATATCTTTCGGTAACAATTAGACTAATTATTGTTATCGGTTGTGTTTAAGTTAGTTAATAATTTCATCATGGTGTATGCATAGCGCTATAATCGTTACCATATAAACAGACGTTGCTTTAACTTGTTGGTATTGTGTTAATTTAAGTCTATATTTATACCATTATAACCATAATGGTAATAAGAATTATAATGGTTATTACCGTCGGTGTACCTTTAAGTGATCTAGAAATGTATGAATGTCGTCTGATAACATTCAATGATGGATGGAAACTAAACTATTGAACACCTACTCAAATGGCTAAAACGGGTTTCTATTATTCGGGCAAACGAGATTGTGTCAGATGTATGTTTTACTCAAACGAATTTGATTGTTGGCAGCGAGGTAAAGATTCGATGATGGAACGCAAGCGTAAAAGTCCTCAATGTCTCTTCTTTAGAGACAGTTCAGGTAATTCAAAGCGTACGCGTGTGTTTACTCTTATATGTTTTATGAATATTTTCTCTTCAGCGTATGATGTTTGCGGCTTGTACGGTTCTCCACTCTCTGCAATTAGCTCTAGTATGGAAGCCGAAAATAATGAATATTTACTAGAAATGCTTCATCAAATTAAAACTCCTAATCATATATTGTTTAGTACATATACCGCTCGTATGACAACATTTGATAAGTGTCAAAGAAAAATGATGCAAAAAGTACAATACCTTTGCGAAGCCGGATTTTTTTATATAGGTAATAGTATAGTTTATTATTATAATATTAGACTACAACAAGATGTTAGTTACATACTAAGCGTTTATATATAATTCAATCTGTAGACGAATACTAATAATTACACTGATTCATACTATATTAATTATTTCATAGTAAATATAATTTTAGGTAACGGTCAAAATGATCGAATGTGTTGTTTTTGCTGTAGTCAAGTACTAAGAGATTGGGATGATGATGACGAGCCGTGGACAGAACATGCACGATGGTCTCCTAAATGCGCTTGGGTTTTGTTCAATAAAGGTAAAATATTTATTGACAAAGCGTGTGGAAAAAAGGATGAAAATAATTAATCTTAAAAATTTTTTATTTATATGTGTAAATAATTATTTATTTTTGTGATATACAATAAATGTATTATTTTTACAAACAATTTTTTTTCAATTTATACATTTAAGAGTTGTAAATCAACCATTGCTTTAAGCATAATGCTTTATACAAGCTACACATTTTATAGTTGTTCATGTGTCGAACACAGCATGGTTTCGTAGAGCAGAATAGATTGTATAACGGTGGACAATCCAAGTCTTCCATATCGATTACATTCTGGTTAGGTAAATACTTTTCCAAAACATTTTTTTTGATAGCACCCTTTACGTAAATAGTATTGCAGCGTAACATTCGCATTATTCTCGGTAATTCATCGTATTCAACGTCCCCAACAGTGGTATCCAAACCATGATGATGCTTTTTGAGCCAGTTTGTGGTTTTCTTATCGTCATCGACAGCGTTTGGATGTTTGAACACCCAGTGAGAGAGACATGTAGAGTCCAGGGCGATGACGGACAATTCTTTAACCAAAAATGAATGATCCGTAGACATTAGACCCTGAATGTCAANCATCATGGGACGTTGAATACGATGAATTACCGAGAATAATGCGAATAATACGAGCGGTATATGTACTAAACAATATATGATTAGGAGTTTTAATTTGATGGAGCATTTCTAGTAAATATTCATTATTTTCGGTTTCCATACTAGAGCTAATTGCAGAGAGTGGAGAACCGTACAAGCCGCAAACATCATACGCTGAAGAGAAAATATTCATAAAACATATAAGAGTAAACACACGCGTACGCTTTGAATTACCTGAACTGTCTCTAAAGAAGAGACATTGAGGACTTTTACGCTTGCGTTCCATCATCGAATCTTTACCTCGCTGCCAACAATCAAATTCGTTTGAGTAAAACATACATCTGACACAATCTCGTTTGCCCGAATAATAGAAACCCGTTTTAGCCATTTGAGTAGGTGTTCAATAGTTTAGTTTCCATCCATCATTGAATGTTATCAGACGACATTCATACATTTCTAGATCACTTAAAGGTACACCGACGGTAATAACCATTATAATTCTTATTACCATTATGGTTATAATGGTATAAATATAGACTTAAATTAACACAATACCAACAAGTTAAAGTAACGTCTGTTTATATGGTAACGATTATAGCGCTATGCATACACCATGATGAAATTATTAACTAACTTAAACACGACCGATAACAATAATTAGTCTAATTGTTACCGAAAGATATGTTACAAACAGTTGTAAACACGTTCAGACGGGGTTCAAACATATATGAACGCGTTCAGTCAGGTTTAAACATGTTCAGACTTGTTGAATCGAGATCATACGATTCCAGTATAGTAATACCTTTGATAATGGAAATATGATCACCTATAATAATATAATATATATTACGAATGTGAACCGGAATGAATACAAGCGCCGTCTTTATACAAATCAAACGAAACCCAACTATAGCTATGTGATGTGTAGACCTTTGGTCATAGAGAGTCCTCTTACTTGAATAATTAAAACAGTCAATCAGCAGTTTACCCCTACATAGAAGAGGAGGTGATGATGAAACTCATCATAAGGTGGTCATTATTATGATATTAAAGTAAATAAATAAATATGTACAATATTATACTATTTCATAAGAATTGAGTTATTTTTTTAATTTTAGAGAAAATATTTATACGTTTGAAATAATATTTTATCAAATTCTTTTTTGATTATTCAGTCACACTACCGCGTTTGTTAATAGACATTAATGTGTAATCGTTTTTGTATAAAACATGTATACACATAATCTGTTACATATATTTGTATACAAATATTTAGAAATCGAGAGTTTAAAATTAATTATTATGATATTAAAGTGAAATTACTTAAGTGATGAAGGAATGGGTGAGTTTACGGGGGTATGTGATCTATGATTTGATGACACCTCTATAAAAATATGTGATTTTTCCGCATAAATGAGCATGAAATCGTTGATAAAGTCATAGTGTCATCAAGAACCATCAGCTCTAAAAAGTAGACTCTACTCTATGAATAATATGGCTGTCGAACCTGTAAGAAAACAGCACTACATTTATATCGCACCAACACCGCCAGCCGAGATGATTGACTCTAGCAGTTACACTATTGCGTTCAGCGACAGAAAATTTTTGCAAGTGGGCCTGAATCCAAAGGATGACTTCAATGTTACGGTATGCATTATTACTCCTTCACGATATATTAGTATGTCAGCAGATTGTTTAAATATTATTTACGGCATGAGGGATGAAATAACATTATTTCTACAATCACCTCCGGTAAAAGGAGAGAACATTATGTTATACCAAAATGTCGATTTTAATATAACCAAAGTATTGTACCGTGATACCATGCATTTAGTATTAGAATCCAGAATAGTGGATGGGTGTCGAGTGTTATTGAATAACGGAAACATTAATAGACTTATGGACTAACAGTGTACTATTAACAGTGCAATATCAAGAAAAATAAAAACATGTTTACTATTAAGCCGTCAAATAGACCGAATTATACAATACGCCGACGGTAGATGGTCGGTCTCTAAAATTCAACAATCAAACAATGATGAAATGATTAATTTTTTTTTTTATATAGTATATTTATTTCATAATAATAATAATAATTACAAGGTGAATAATAAATGTTTACATGTTTATGTAAAAAATGTTAAAATATACGGACAGTTCTGTCAAAAGGTGTATAAGTAAATACATTGTATGAAATTATTAGAGCATATACAGCCGTATTAGCGGGAACGTGGTTGATGCTTCAATCTCAATACGTAAGTCAAAAGACGGGAATGTAATTGTATCGTTCTGCTTTGAAATATCAATCACTGCAACAGAATTATTATAATGATATTAAAAAATAATATTAACTATTATTAAAATAAAGACGTCTATACATGTATCGGTTAAATAATAAGGCATTTGTATGGAGGATTTGTCCGCACATACTTGTACAGTATTCATTATCACGTGTAAAAATGTTAAATTTCAGGATGTAAAATTGAAAT